TGAAATCGTCGAATGCTTGTCTAACGCACGATAAGATTCTCATCGGTTACCAATTTATTGACAATTCAATGGCTTTTATAATGACGTTGAATGCAGCCATAATAAACAAGATATGATCGCGTATACATTTTTTTGTAACGTGATATGCTTTTTACGAACTTCAGGTTCATTTATCTTAAATATGCTAATATCTTTATTTTGTTTATTTCTACTAAACAAGATACAATAAGAAGTACTGTAAATTATAATTACTTAAATAGCGGACTCTTTTGATAGCAAAATATTAATTTAATGACGTTTGTGTTTATTGCAATATGGGCATTCTCTTGCCTTTGGAGATCAACAATATTAAATTATTATAATTAAGAGATTTAAAATATATCAATTATATCCTTATTTCTAGTCACTGTATTTTTCCAACTGATTAACTTTTTAACCTTTTCATTGCAGGGATCCGCCCAAGTGTCCCTTGCAGACTTTAGTCCAGAATCGCCAAGCGTGAAATGGTACAACATACTTTCCTTTCGCTTCATGCAACCATCCGACAGCCCGAGCACTAGCACCAGCAATAGCAACAGCATTTCCATCAGCGTAGCGAGGCAGGCCAAACACGACAAACAAGAATCAGACTTATCGGTATATCGTGCTGGACAGAATACGAAAGAAGAAAGCAGTGATGAGAGCACGATTATCAGTTCTCAAACGTCGACTCTGACGAGAAATCAGGGATGCGATGAACTGCAAACGGCAATCTCGTTAAGGCTGGAGGAGCTAGCCAATTGCTTGGGAAGTCCTGAAGAAGAGGATGAGAACGATGGAAGTGAAAGCGGAAGTGAGGACAGTGACGAGGAAGGAATCATTGTAGAATTTACGATGGAAGATAATGTTCTGGAGGATGTGTTAGAACATGAGGTAAATAATACTTTAAGGTACTACCTTCTGGTATATAATTTTCTATGGATAGTTGCCATTAAATATTCTCAAAGCATTTGTTGTAAATTGTTTTCTAAATTTGTAAAGTTTTATTATAAATAATTATAGGAGGACGAGGAATTAAACGAAGAAGCAAGACAAACCCAGGACAAAGAAACTAATACCGAGTGCGTCTTCATCCCAGAACAAGGAAAACAGAGGAAACTTTCGGCAGCCGGTGTCGTTTCTAGTGTTATGCACGATGATAAAAATTCGATCGTAATCAAAAGAAGTCAAACGTTTTCACCCAGTGCTGCAGTCAGCAAAAATCACTATATTTGTCGGGTGAGCATTGCTTTCTTTTTTAGAACATTATCTATAATTTTTAGAAATTTGGTCAAGTAGTCTAAAATTTAATTTGATTATTTATCGTAATCGATGTTTCATATTACAGCTCAATCGAAGCGATAGTGATAGTAGCATGCCGCTTTATCGCAGAGGCGGACCATTTCAACGAAATTCGGTAGAAAGACGGTCTCTTCGATGGCGAAGACCTTTGTCCGCTCTCAGTTGTAAAACTGCCTCAAAAAAGTCTACCAATTTACCACCTACCGCTAGAACCTCACTGGATCTTGAATTGGATCTTCAAGCGCAGCATGCCAGACTGAACAATCTCCAGGATGAGTTGAGTAGATTGCGAGAATTAAAGCAAAGGTTAGAACAAGCGCGAGAAAAGGGAGACACAGACTTTGCGGCATGGTTGTTAGAGGACCACAAGTTCCAGAACCTGATGGCACAAGCCGAAAGTGGAAAGAACGGCAAAAGTGCCGAGGATAAAAGAGTAGAGAAGATGTTGAAGAAAACCTCGAAAGAAATCTACAAACTACGGAAAACAAAAGCTGGGAAAGGAAAACCTGATATTATTTCGTTCAAGTATGTACATTACTGTTTAATACATAATATCTGAAATTTCTATTTTAAATTGTTAGAAAAAAAATTATGCGGAATTTCTAGCGTCTAAATTAAAATTATTCGTCTACTTTTTGACCAATTTTTCAAAACATTAACTTATACCATAAAATGATATTCGATAAAAATATACAATAAATAGTTACATTCACTGGAAATGTTAACTTATAACATTTTTAACATAACTTTAATTTTGCATTTTAGAGAAAAGATGGCTTTCTTCACACGCGTTAATCTCAATGTTCCTGTACTTCCACCCGAAGATTCATTGTGTGAGAATCCATCGTCACCATCACCATCGCTTATTCAGCACAGGAGACACGCCTCGGAACCAATTGCCACTGAATACATGGTTACTAAGCTTGGTGCTCAAGGTGTTTCAAATTTGACCATGCGGTCAAATAGTGTTCCTAGCGGGAATGCGTCCGCGGTGAAGACTGACGGTGCCGCGACCAATAACACGACTACGGTCACGAACGTGATCGAGGACGTTCCGGCCAACAGTACAAATAAATCTGTGAACGCGAAAGGTCGATCTACCGAGGCGAACGTGCATTGTCAAGAAAATGGTCAAGGTAGTGAGAGCCTAAAATCAACCGAAGAAAACGATAGCGAAGAGCCAAGGAGATACGAATACGTCGTCGACAGAGTTCTCGGTGTCGAGGTGTAACGTTTACACCCATATTTTTGCCAATAGACAAATCGTTCGAATCGTTGGATAATTAATGCGTACCAGTCTGGTGACTTTCAAACGGAAACGGAGGATTGAAAAAAAAAAGAACAAGAGAATGTTGTTGTTTCTTTAATTTTTTCGAATTCCAGGTGCCATGCACGATGAGTAAAGAAAAACTAGATGAAGAACGTTTATCGAAAAACACTTGAACGGCATACACATAGTGACTATAACTAGTACAACAAATTGAACGATGTTGCTGATATTTGTTATTGTTTTCTTTTTTTAATTATTGGTTATCGACAACGCGATGCCTTGAGAGAGTCATTCTAGAAAGACTTTTGAAACGATAGAAAAAAATGCGCGAAACAAGCGCTTTGTACATACGAGAATCGTAAATTATTTAAATGAGATTTTATGCGAGAATTATTTAATTTCAATCGATTCCATCGGGTTCCTCTCTTGTATCCCGGTTCATTATTTTACGTTATATCGCTTTGCTCATTTCCCCTTGCATATTCCCTCTTTAGAGCATACATGGCCCCACCGAGCAGCTGGACTGCAATATTGAAAATGTAATAAACGAAGAAAAAGAAAGTAAAGGGAAAGAGGAAAAAGCTGTCGCCCTGGTTGGCTGAACTCTGCCTCGATTCCATTACTGCCATTTCGTAACGTGTTCGCAATTATAATTTCGGATACTCTTCCTTCCGGCTACATCGAATGATATAATAAGTAAGTGTCTTTTTATCGTGTTTTTAGCGACGAGTTGAGTTCAGCTATGTTCCGTTTCAATTAGATTATTCTCACTCGGCTCAAAGCGTGTTGCAAAATATGTTAACGTCGTGAAATTGTTGATCCCTTTATCGACGAAAGAGATATAGCGAGGTCATAAAATTAGTCATAGTCGAAAATACATGGTCTTCAAATGTCGAAGCAAAATTTCGAAGAAGAAAGAAGAAGATCTAAGGGGAGAGATAAGGCGCTTGAGCTTTGCCGAAAATGTAAGATGTCAACTTAGAATTAATACTTCCTTTACAACCGTAGCTTTATTTTTACCAATACAGTGATTATTACGAAATAAAAAACGACGGAGGTTAATACCGCGTAATTTTAATGTATGTCTACTTGATGCTTTAACTTATGACCTCATTATATGACACTGTACATGATATCGATCCAAGCATCTGCATGTACACGTATGTATTTGCGTTAATTCTTTAATATATCCAAATACAGAGTCATTAACATTTTATCGATTGAAAAAATAATTAGGTGTATCGGTAGTACGAATGCAGCGATTACTTGAATTTAACTTTAATATTTCTGTACCATTTTTGCGAGTATATCGAGGAACCTGGTAGAAATTGAATTTTCTTGTGGAGGTTAATAAATGTCTTTGAAACAACAATCATGTAAATAACTTTGTATATACGCATCGACAATCCTGTTTACGCGTCTATAAAATATAAATATATATAGATACAAATTATATACATATATCCATGTATTTACGAGTGCATGCGTGTGGGTCTATATGTTGCAACATATGTTACGCGTATACATGTATGTATGTATCTATAGTGCGTATAAGACAGAGAAATTTATGCGATAAATTTGTATGGTCCGAGAATGCATATTTTTATAGTAAAATACGTGCACAACTTGTACAACAGCTTTTATTACTTCATTGACAACACAGAGGAAGAAACGAAAGTAGTCTGTTCTGTAATAGAATTACGTTTTCAAAGTGCAGGACCTATTACGTATGTATGTATTTAATTAACGTGTTGCATTAACGTATTGTAAACCAATCATTCGACTAGGTGACGTAATGTCTTACGGTGTTGAAATCAAGTATGACAATGATGTCGATGACAAATGTTAAACGATGGGGCTACGATAGTAACTAAATGCGTTTACGATGGACGGTAGCAAAATAAAAAACAACGATAATGCTGTTAATAACGGTATCGATGATAATGGCAATGTAAAGTGGCGGCAATGAGTATAATAGAACATGAAATATGAATCATGGTACTGATATGGATAAGAGTAGTAATAACGATAATAATAAGCTCGTAATGAAATATACACATACATAAACACGTACATCCTCCGAGAAACAACCACAATATGACTTGTAAGTAATAATAATGATTTAAATGGTAGTGATTCATATGATAACGATTAAAAGAAAAAAAAATACAGTATATATATTCTTGCCATATTATTTTGTATCGTAAATTTTGTTTCTCAGACTTTTAGTGATTAATATACTTCTTTTAACTCCTGAACCGTTTTATGTGACTAACTACACAGCAGTGGTGCAATAAAATTATTCTACCATAGTCCGAGTAGTACGAAGATTCGACATATTTTCAAATTTGCAATCTCATATGACGCAGCTATTTAAATGGAATTCAATTTCCGTAGAAATATTTTATTCACCATTATATGGAATAGCGAAATAACAGGCATGAATTTTTTATAATTGATATTAACACACTATGTGGTTTATGATTTCCCACCATCTTAAGTTTTATCGAATTACTAAAATTTTGCTGATGTTTGTCTTAGTATATTCATTTTCAAATCAGAAATAACTAAAAAATGTATTATTATTGAACATAAAATATTTCCAATTCTATTCGTAAATGTCTGTCAACTATGTTTCAATCGAAATATGTCATAACTACAAATATTATATCATTCATGGTGTTTAGAACGAACTATGAACTTAGAAGCTTAACTTAAACAAGGCTAATTTATAAATTTACAATATTTCAAATATTATGTTTGCACCTCTGAATTCTAACTTGGAAGATACGGATATTTGTAGAGTATATATATATATATTTATCGAAGTCTTAAAAAGAAACAAAAGAAGTTGAAATCTTTGCACGGTATTAATGAAAATAACGTAGAAGCAAAGAATAAAATATCCTTGCGCATGTTTGAAAATCACGCCGGCGCAGTGAACGGAGTACTCGAGTTCGTTCGGATTGGCTGAACGGTTCAGTAGACTTGTGGACAACGTCTCACCCCTTTTAGTATAGCCGAGTGCATCCGGCGCGATGTTGTTGTGTGGTGTTTTGTGTACTGCATTGTCAGTTTCCTTCGGTGCGATCGTACAAATTCTAATATTTCTTCTGCAAAACTCGAACATCTCGAAAGTGCAAGCTTCCCTTCCACCGGGAGCTGGTTAGTTTTTATTCCAGAGATACTATAGATTGAAAATATTCGATATCAAGGTTTTGTTGCGTTATACTGACTGATACAATAGGGTCTATGTATATGATAAGGATAATTACGATTAAAATATACTAGGAAGTTCAAATTAATTAGAAAGTTCAAGTTTGTTTTCTTTTAACTTATTCGATAATACGATTAATTTATTCTATTAAAACATTTTTTACATTCTGTTTAATTTTGTCGCTCGTTCGTGTATTTTTCCTTACTTGTCTAGTTTATATACGAATATTTAAATAGTCGAACAAAAAATTGCAAGATTATTTGAATTTAAGAACAAGATTTATCTACTTCGAGAGACAAGATACTCTTACTAAACATTTGTTCCACTCGTCTATACGCGTATCGATTCTCATTCAATCGTTTCTTCGCTGGCGCGCTTTTTTTGAAAACGAGTACGTTCGTGGTAATGAGTTCATCTCTCGAAGAAAGCTTACAATTCGTGTATCATAGAATCCAAGCTTTCGTGACCATGTATATTATTGCAATGCATGTGTTTCGTGGATTACACGAGTGTCGAGTCACTGGGAATCGTGTCACTGAATAATCTAGGTGACAGAATCTCGAAGACGATATGTAATTCAGCGGTCAGCTGTGAATGTTCGTCGACTAATCGATATTATTATCGACACCATGTTTTCCGCACCGGGAATCTCGGTATATATATACATACAATATACATACGCACATGTGGATAGCATCAAGTTCTACGTAAGTACTATACAATTCGCTGACATACGGAGCATTTAACACTGGTTTGAATCACGCTTCCCCCGAACATTCCCACGCAACCAGAACTATCTGTTGGATCCGAATAATGTTGAACTTGAATGCCAAAGACCTTTGGCTAATTACGTCAGATCGCTTTATAAGACGATATTTCGTCTGTAATGTAAATATGCAAACTGTGTTTTATTTAAAATAGAATTTGATACAGGAATGCGTTAAATAACACATAAACATCTCTAAATTTGGCATTAACTTAATATATAGCAGAAATAAATTGATGTAAATAATATTTATCTTACGAGCAAAACATTGGTCTATATGTTATGTGATTTATATTGTCATATGTATATACTTTTAGTCGTATATCTTTTTTCAGTATTTTTATCTTTATACAAATATTTAATTTATTACATAGTAATAAATATAGTAAAATAATTCGGGCTCGCTGTTTATGATTCAAGCATATGAAAAATATAATACTTAAAACTCTAAATTATTTGTTATTTTATTTCAAACCATTAACGAAAGCGACATATTACTAGAAAATAATTTATTTCATTTTGATATACACCTTTTTAACCTGACACTAATGGTACCTGTACCGAAAGCGTACATACTTACATTTTTAAGTTGTAAGGTCGGAAATAAAATGAAAACTACGTTTTATTTACAACATACATTTATTAATAGAAAAACACGAAACACAGGGAAATTTAACTAATAATGGTACATCAGTGATACATTACGAAAATAAAGATAAACTTTAAAACGTAATCTTCCATTTAAATTCTCTTCCTGAATTCTCACTCGTAACGCCAATTAATAGTTAAGATAAAAATAATTAATCAAAGTGATTGATTACTTCGAAACACGTATGATATCAAGTACATAGCGGTAACACGGTATCAGATCATTTCGTTTAAGTTAAAAATGGCGCGACGAGTATCCACGAGCTATTAATTAAAGCAAAACATTCTGTTCAGGATAATGAGCCGATTAGAGAACGTAATTGAAGCTCTCGCAATGAAGTTCGGTGTATTGCACGATAAATTGGAGTTGGATAACAGGTGAGAGTATAACTAGATACGTGACCAGCAATAATTCGTAACAGTGCGCATCGGAAGGGGTTGTAAACGCATGGTCTGTAGCGGAATCGAACTGGTAAAGCCTGGAAGACTAATCAGAATCAATTTACATTATTTTCACCATAGGAACTCGGTTCCCTATCGATTTAACACTACCACCACTGGCTAAAAATATTCAAGGTGTACATAGCAAATCTTTACATTACGCGATGCATGAAAAGTTTGTACAAGCGAGAAGTCGCTATTTGCTAAAATACATAAAGAGGAGGTTTGCGTTGAAAATTCTATATAAATACGTTAGGTTTAGACATAGATGGCCTGATCGAGGAAATACGACGAATGTATTAGAAAGGGAAAGGATTTTTTATATTCACGCTGTACGACAGAAAGTAAAATAAAAAGAATCACGTTTAAACAAGCAGTTTGTTATTTCTTGCGTTTTATAATTTTGTCAAAGGTTCTTCCTAACCTGTTGTTATATTTTACTTTTTATTCTTAGAAACAGTAATGTATCTGTCTGTTTTTTAATTAATACATACGCTTGAAACGATTTCACCGATTATATAATTTTCCAATTTGAAATTATTTTAACGCACCGTGGGGGTAGCGATACTTTGTCTGCTTATAATTCATTTTGAAGTTTTATTCGTCATATGCATAATTCGTGAGTGAAATATGCTAAAGTAAGTATTAGCCAACTTCAAGTGAAATTGAATACATAGGTACTTACCTACCTATTCATGGAACAAAGTTCCAATAAAAGAGAATTCAATGACCTCGTGCAAATTAACGAGCAATTTATAGTCACGCAGTAGCACGACAAACTTTTTGACAGATTTTCTCCTTCTACCGGAAGTTTTCAACTAGTATGTACTCTAATTGGTTACTTCATAGTTTTTGAAGTCGTTAAAATAGTTCCCTACACTTTTTAGCCTGTCTCGCACATGAGAAATTAATCCATCACGATCAATATTAATTGAACAATCGGGATCGCTTGTTGTCTCGATAATATCAAGCCAATTTTGTCGTTTCATAAAAACGTCTAATAATTGTTAATTACGTAAATCGAATAATTATTAATACTGTATATATATATATATATATATATATATATATATGTATGTGTACCTGTTTAATGTCGGGTGTTTAGGACCAAGTTGGTCTATTCGTTATATTTAATGTCACATTGTCTCGTAAACGATTCGCATGACTAAAGGTCATTGCCCTTGTCGACGATAAGTTCCTATGAAAGTGAAGCTTTCACGCACCACCGCTTCACGTTTGTCTGTTCCTCTTTCATAGCAATGCGGAAATAAATATCATGTAATCTGAAATTACATAACCTCAAAAGAATATTTTACTCGCGAGATGTCCTGAACTGTAACATTTCATTGAAATTTTCAAATAATTATTTTGTATTATTTCGCGTATATTAATTTTACGCTTGTTTTTTTTAAATAAAATTGACATTAACAGCTGTAAGCGTAAGCAAGACGATTATTTATATAAAATTATGTTATAACGTTTAATTCTTGATAGATTTTATTTTGGATGCTTTAGCAAAATGTTTTACGAGAATATACTTGTCAACGAATAACAGTTACAATTCCAACGATATTTAAAACAATATCACGCAGCGATTAACCTATATCCTGTATATTAAAAAGAAAAAGGGTATTTGTTCTACTTTTGTAATCAACGCAGTTAATTTCATAAGACAAACCTCGTTTATACATTACCACGTTTACACGATGCAATAAAGACGGTTATCGTTGCATTGAAGCATAAATTTGAATCGATTACTCGTCTCAATCAAACTGAATACTCGAAAATATTTATTCTTCGTACTACTACGTATCGTGAAATACGATATACAATTTCTTGTTCGACTTGATATCACCGTAATCTATCCTCAGTTTGCTAAGTAATAAATCAAATAAATATCATTAAAACGCGCCTTTCACTTCCATCCTTATTAATCGAAGCGTATAATTTACGAGTAAAATGTTTGTTACCTCAGAGGATGAAATTATTCTGATCGAGCATCTGCCAGGACGTCGAGTACATCTGCAAGACTTCTTTTGGTCAGATGCCAAGGATGCCCCACCATGGGTAGACGCTAATCAAGGGCTGACGTTTTACGAAACCAGAACAGTTCATCATACCGTAACATTGTACTCGCCGGCAGAAGACAAAGATAATCACAAACCATTTCCCGATCACGCTGAACCTAACGAACCAAGATGTACTACTTGCATCGAACCAACGCCTAGATTGGACGACGACACGGACCAAAATATCGGTGTCCTTATCGGAGAAGATCCTGGTCCAAGGTGTGTATTTATTTGTTATTTTCCAGATTGCGAGTATTTATGCGTCTTGTGCACGAATATTTTCACACTTGGTGCCATCCGATCAAAATATAAATATTTTTATTACACTTCCAACGGTATGTTAGAAGAATGTTTCTCTACTCTTAATTATCGTGTTTCTTGCCATAACCGGGACTAAGTGTTTCGGTAAATTGAAACTGAATATATATGCGTTAATCAGACTCCGTGTTTGTTTCTAAGAAATAGCTGGCACTACAAAAAACCTTTATAAACTGCAAGAACGTGACTGGAAACACACGTTCCAATTAACCTAACATCACAACATTGCACAGGCGATCGTATCCAGCGTTCGTAGCTTCGCGTTTTCTTACGGACAAGACATACATAATTACGTTATAAGTAACGCCACGAACAACACTTTACGCAGAATAATTGAAATATTCTTTTTTCGTTCTCCACGATTTAGATACTGGTTGCTAACAGTTCTTCGGGCAGGTGAAGCCATACCGCCAAAAATCGAATTGAAACTAGCCCGATTGTATAAGACTGCGTTTTCGAGGCAGCAGCATCGTCATCTTGGACTTTCACAGACGAACACACGATTTCGAAGAATTACAAGAGGGCACGCGCTTCTTAGAAACAAGGTACGCTTGCTGAATCAACGTACAATGGAACCCAACCTAACCCCAATTTGGCAGACGCGATCATAAACGTTCATAGATATATCCTCTAAATTCATTAAAATATTATCACCATACAGCGATGATAAGGTGAAATTAATCGCTATTACACTCTTCGTCGTACATTGTCCCGCTCCTTGTCTAACAGGAGCTGAGATACCTCCACGCACGTTCTATTCTCCGCTCCTGTTACTTTCTCGCGATTCGACTCCGATAGATGGCAACACTGTTATACGTATATCTATCCTTGCCACGTAATATCGCGCTCCATGTCTATTATCGATGATTAAAGAAGGTCGGAACTGCGGGAAAGTAACAGGAGTATAGAATGTGCAAGGAGGTATCTCAGCCACTGTTAGACAAGGCGAGCTGTATTGTCCGACAAGGACGGACATACGTGACGTCACAGACAAGGAAAGCTATATTGCGCGAAAAAGTACTTCTCCCTTTAGTTTCACGATTATTCGTTAATTACGCTTTTCCCTGATAAAATTCATGAATTTTCAGGATCGTACTACAAAGGCAGAACCTCTGGCAAGGTTCACAGATCGATTTCGACCGGAATTTCCTTTTAATTAATTAGCTACATGTCTGCGATTGTCCATAAATATTAACCTTTTGCTGCATCAATTCGCACTCTAAAGAAATGTGGAAGCTTCCATAGATCCTGTACTAAATTCTTCGTGCGTAAAAGTTCATAAATCAATTACGCGTGGCGAAAATTTGCGGCGTGTCCCTGGGTGACGAGGGGATGTCGTGGATAGTCGTCAAAAACTGAATAATTAGGCAGAAATTTTGGTCGAAATCGGTGCAAGACCGTTCTCAGAGATCCCCTCTATATTCTTCGATTCTAAAAGCGAAGGATTTTGTAGCAGGAACAGAGCAATTGATGAAAATTCGAAGAATTAGAGAGAGAGAAGCATGTGTGTCCTTATCGCACGGTAGTGCGCTCCTTGTCTACGATCGATGCTGCCATCTATCGAAACCGGCTAAAACTGCAAAAAAGTAACAGGAGTATAGAACATGCGAGGAAGTACTTCGACTCCTGTTAGATAAGAAGAGGTATATTGTGCGACAAAGACAGACATACGTGACGTCACAGACAAGGAAAGCTATATTGCGCGACAAGGACAGACATACTTCTCACTCTAATTTCACGATTGTTCCCTCATTACTCTTCTCCCTGGTAAAAGTGATGAACTTTCAGGATCGCAAGGCAAAGGTGGAACCTCTGGCAAGATTCACACGCCGATTTCAATCGGAATTTACCTTTAATTAATTAATTATGGACATTTATCGTAGCTAACGTCGCGGCTAGTCCGGTACTGGTCTGCGATTTTTTACAAATACCAACTTTACGCCGTATTAATTAGCTCTCTAAGGAATCGTAGAAGCTTCCTTAGATCCCGTAGTAAATTCTTCGTGCATAAAAGTTCGTGAATTAATTACGCGTGAGGAAAATTATGCGAAAATTTGCGGCGTGGCCCCTGGCTGACGAGGGGACGCCGCGGATAATCGTTAAAAACTGAATAATTAAGCAGAAATTCTGGTCGAAATCGGTGCAAAACCGTTCTCAGAGATCCCCTCTATATTCTTCGATTCTAAAAGCGAAGGATTTTGTAGCAGGAACAGGGCAATTAATGAAAATTCGATGAATTAGAGAGAGAGGTATGTCCGTCTTTGTCGCACAGTAGTGCGCTCCTTGTTTATGGACAAGCCATGCCCTGTCATCTGTGTGTGGAAGCTGGAACATAAAAAGTTATAGTGTGCGAGAATAGATGGCAGTCGATGCTTGTTCGCAGACAAGAAACGCACTAGTGTTTTAGAAGGACGGATATATATTCTCGTCACAGGTAAAGAAGATTGAAAAATTAGTTCCGCTTTCCACCGCTATGCGGTGATAGCATCGCTGTCCCTAAAAATATGACAGATTATGAGTTATTAAGATGATGTAAATTAAGATGAAGCGTTCTTAGTAGAAAATAACATTTTCGTAGAAGTAAGTAACATAAAGTATACTTCACTAAGGCTATGGATTTAAACCAAAGTTATCTATAGTATGTAGATAATTTGTAGCTTACGTACGAATGTAACTATGGACCTATCTTAAGATTCGATTTAATGGAAAAAGTCGAACAAATTTTCTTTATTAAGAAAGGCTAATTAAGAGAATTCATCTGTGAACTTTTAGGTTTGCGTCTACCGGATTGTATCATCAGCTTTCTTCCTACCTTTCTTTCAGTCTACAAACTGTAAATATAAAGATTTAAAAATTTTGCGTGATAGATTGAAGCACTCGTATGGATAGTATTTAATTGTTCGGAAACTACGTTCGAAATATGAATCGTAATTTCTCGTCGACGTAGTTAAAGGCGTAAACCTCGAATAAATGTATACACGTACAATGCAAGTTAATTGCGCGAAGGTGAGAAACTTTTATTTTTTAATTTCAAAAGGAAAGAATTGTCTCTCTAATTACCGAATATTCGTTAATTACTCTTGCTTTTAAATCATAATTTTAGAATCTTGGAATAAAAAATGGCTGCCAGACAACATTCACATACATAGCTTTCAAGACGAATCTGTGTTTAACCAATTGGTTATTAACAATTATTTCATAAAATTGGCACCACTAATATACACGAGTTTTTATTAATACGGAACTTTTAAACGATTTCGATTTACAGTCCGTGCAATCATAGAAGCTTCCTTAAACCCCGAGCATTCCATAACCTTCACCTTCGTATTTCTACAGTAACAGCGAATAAATTTATGAGAGTTACTTTTAAAGGTTTATATATATATTTTTTTAAATACAAGGTAACACGGCAAACATACAGTTGCAATAAATATTTCTCGAACGTTGTTTCAGCCAGAGATCGCCGGTCAGGGAGAAATACCGCGAAACTCCACGATCTCATCGCCTAAACTAAGGATTCCAGGGAATTCGGAGTCTCGGATCTCTACGATGCCAAACCAAATAAAACTACTTCAAGTATCCAGCTTCAAAAATACTCTTGTCCCAACGACGACAAGCGTTAACGATGTTGGGAATCGCAATGAGCAAATTGAAATGGACGATTTTCAATTAAAAATCACAAAATCGAGCCTCGTCGAAGAGAAAGTATCGTACGATAAAGATCTATCTGCAACCACGTCGTTAGACTTTAATGAAAACACGACAGAATATCCTGGTCAACGATCGTTGCAGTACGATCTATCTTTTAATTCGTCTTCTGATCTTTTGAACGATCTTCGCGATCGTACGAACAATCGTGCTACGTCAAGGGAAGAAATATCAAACGATGGCGGTTCAGACAGCACAAATACAAGCAAATATTCCGAGTTACGTTCATTGGATCGTTCTGGCGACGAGGCTGTCCAAGTTAGAATGCAAAATACAAGTGTAACGGACAGTGGGGCTACGAAGTTGATTTATTCGGTTCACCTAGGAGGGAAACCTGTACCCGCAGAAACAGCTGCCAGGGATATGGCTCTTTTGTCACCTCAAGAGGTTGCATTGGAACTTGGCGCGCCAGTTCTTATTCAAAGCGAACGTAAATATTATACTTGTAGTTCTTACTTATAGTAGTATAGTATATTATTATTTTCCATCAAGAAGTAAGATATCTTAGCACCGCTTTTTCGTAATTAGGTGTGCGAACGAATGATGCGAATTTTCCAGTGAGATTCCAAGTCTATTCAAAAAGAAGGTACAGCTGGTGGTTCGATCAGAACATTTGCCATCGCTCTTTATGATTTTAAGAGACGATTCGCACGGTCGGGTCGCGTCGAGTCAGGTCAAAATCGCTTACAGGTAATTCAATGAGATTATTCGCAGTTGGAGGTTCGGTTAAGTCGAATGAGAATCTCTTGACTCGACGTGATCTGACCGTATGGTTATCGCTAGTCTGAATCAAACTAGAGCCATCTATGAATTCTTTCATTAAGTTCTGAATGGCAAATCACGAATTCTCTCATGGAAAAATGCTGCGTCTCTAGACAAGAACCAATCGCCGAGTCATTTCTCTATCTCGTACGTTAATTGAAAGTGAGTATCGGATGAGACGTGTTACGTCGATCAGAACAGGTAATAATCCTAGGGAGTAACGTCTAGCGAATAAGTTGGCTGCTACAAGGTATCCCAAACGTGATTCATTATGACAACATGAACAACTTGAATCTTCTTTAAATAAACTTTGAGTTCCACTGACAAATTTGGATTATTCGTTTGCACGTCTAGATTGTAGGTGTATTTATTAATATATAATCTAAATAAAATTTATCTTCTTTTTTTTCATTAAAATGGGTACGAATATTAATATCTACAGGCATAATGATCAACTTTTAATATATAAAAAGGACACTTAATATATATCTTACAGTATATCCAATATATTAATATATTACATTCCTTGTTTTAAATAGTATTGATTTATAAGCATTTTGAGTTTCAATTGAGTTTCAAGTTACTTTGCATTTTTTGTGTACATAGCGTACTTGAAAGAAACACGACCATTGGCTCTTTCGAGGAAAAGGGATGCATGGCTATTAATCGGTGCAGCAAGCGCTGGTTTTATTCTGTTAGCATTCGTTGTCACGGGATTAGTTCTCGCAGCAAAAAGGAAACGAGCACACAGCGCTGTAGCTGCACCACCGAGTCATCATGTTTTAAGAAAGAAACAAGAATATATACAAGCAGCTGCTGGTCTTGATAATAATGCTTGTTCGACATCCGAAATGGAAATTAAGGTATGTGAGAAATTAGAGTAGCAGCATAGGAAACGTGAAATAATATTATCTAAAATAAAACGTGATTGACTGTCAAAAATAAAAAAAAATATAGCGATTAATAGACTGTAAATTTTCATATGCATTTGTGCTAAATTGAAAAATGCAAAGGTGTAAAGAGATTTAAAGTACTCATTTAGCGTATAGGATAAATATCTATTTAGATTCTCACTTTAAGCACGCAAGCTATGGCCACTAATTTTGTTAATAGTTTGCGTGATATTGAACATAAATATAAATGAAAAAGTCCGGAATAGTAAGAACATTGTCCAATAATCGAGCCAAATGACTAGCTGGAATTATAGGGACAGACTGTTGCATTTATTCGACTATTGACTTGGGGCAGATATTCAACCTTCGTTTACTCTGATTTATTGCGAAGCAACTCTATCGATCTACTGCACATCCTATCCTTTTTCGCAGACTGACGGTACCAGTCAGAGACAGACTCCTGGAAGTTTATCGAGGACTCCGGTGTCTCTCGAAACCCCCGACAGTCTCGAGGCAGGAATTCATCAAGTTTCGAGCGACAACGACGAAGAACAGAAAAGTAAAACGCTAGAACCGAGACCGTGGGAATACTCCTCGAAAAGAACCAGGTACATCCAAGTGTTAATTGCAAGATAATACAAATTTCATTTGATAAAATTTCTTGGTTTGTTTTCAAGTTTAACTGAAGTGCCATCTTCGTATTTTGAAATTTCTAATAATGTTGAACCATATCTTAAGATCTAATTTTTTTCTTTTAAAGCTTTTAATTATATTCAATCTTATCTTTCTATCTTGATACTTCTGTAAACCTGTAAAAAATATAACGCGATATTTAATTGTTATCTTTCAATTATAGAATGGCACATGGAAGAATGTCACGAACAAACGCTGTCGACACGCCTCGAACATCCGATTCAATGGATGTCATTGTCGATCATCTAGAAACATTAGATTCTTTGGAAAAAGATTACACGAGGCAAGAAGAAGCCACTGCTTCACCGCATTCTTACCTTTCTATGCCATCTTGTAAGCCATTCCCCAGCATGAAAAGTGTTGAACCACTTTCTAGAGTACTCGAACCAGTTATGGTGAGCAAACCTTAATCTTGCAATAAAAGTTGTAACGAAAACATGACATAAAATTATTCCAACGAAAACATATTAAATATTTAATACTTCACGCGTACTTCTCACAGATTTTATGTGTTCTATATTTGTTTTATTTAGGTCAAACATCTAGACATAGACTCTCCAGAACTGGTAAGGCGAGAAAACGATCGTTTGGGTCTTTATACGGGTGATGGTGTGAATGATAAATTTTTTGCACGAACTTCGAGTGCTGTCAAAGACCCTGGAGTTATAGGACCAATAGTATGGAATCTTCGGCGGCAAAACTTGTCTGCAGAAGGTATCTCTTTCAGCCCATTTATTCTAGTATTTTCCGGATTAAATTTTCTTATTACGTAATTTGAACTGTGATTTAAGACAATGGTACATCCGGAACAGATGTTGATCCAACTTATGCAATGCCATCCGGTCCTGTGGGGAAAGCAAGGAGAAGACTTCACGAACTCCTGGAAGATTCTTTCAGTCTCTTTGGAAGTAGAGATGCAAAATCGGAAGCACAATTATGCGCCACAAGACCAACTTCAGCAGCACGTGCACCGGATATTCTCACGATATTTTCCGAAACTAAAGGAAGAATCACTCATGCTAGGTATTTTTATTTAGGGATTGTAATTGAGAAGCATTCTGAAAAAAGCTCTGCTAAATTAAGAGTCTATATTATAATTATTAATTACAATATAGTTAGCGTTAAAAGTCAGAGACAAAACTTGTCTAGAAAGCTTATCGATTACTTTTTTAGTATATTCTGTTTAAAATTCATGTTAATGTCTGTATTTAATTTCGTCTTTAGTCCTATATCTTCACCATTAGCGGAAATGCAGGTTCGACCTCGTACGTCGTTACCGGTGAAATCCAACGACGGTGATATTGCAGAAAATGGACATTTCCAACCACCGCGATCTCGCAGTGGTTGGGGTTCCAGACCACTAAGTGCTGGTCCCTTTCATAGGCCTAACTTGCCAGATGTTGATACGAGGCGTATACTTGTCGACAGCCAACTTCCACCAGAAGATCCAGCAGTACCGTTAATAGCTTCGATTAAAAGAGAACTCGAAAAGTTTTCTCCGCAATAAAATAAATAATCGAAGGGGTAACGACATTAAGCAATAACAAGTATTAAAAACTAAAGTACAATTGAGTTAATTCGAAGATTGACGAACGTGCAAACTCCAATTATACTTCCTTCACTGATTCTACAGAGATTGATATTATTGAGGATATTCTAATGAAGAATTAATAGAAAGATTTTCCTGAGACTGTTATTTATAAGTGCAATCAACTACTGCTGATTGACAATTGCTAGTACAACATTAATTTCCAGCAGTTTCAATCTCTAAGAAATTAATATTACAGCGGCTCTGTTGAGCTGACTAACCGAGTTAACAATTACCAAAGAAAAAACGATATTTATAAGATGGATAAAAGACATGAAAATCAGTATTTGAAATTACATTTATAACAATTGTAAATATTCAACAAATTTTTATACGTACGTATTCATTGAATTCATTCACATCAATTCATTCATGCAAGTAATATTTTCTTGAAAGACTGGCGAAAGTAAAAAATTATTATAAAATATCTATTTACACATTGTACACATATTGATGCTATTATAGTTATTATCAATTTATCGTTAACGAAATGAAATGCTGCTGTTTTCATGAAGATAATTAGAAAGGAAATGACTTTTTAAAATAGTTTTTTTAATATATTTTTGTTATATTTTTGTTTGTACAGATAGCAAGGTTAAAAGAACCAAAAAGACACTGTTACGATATTCACTATCAAATTATTTATTTTTTAACTAATACGCTTATTGTATTTTTCGTTTCCCATTGTATATATCACGAATTACTGTAAGTTAGCTAATTTTAATGCATGATCATTTGACATAAAGCGACCATTTCTTACTAAAAACTTTAGAATTTTTTAATTTTAAGAAAGTACGACTTTATAATTAATTCCATCCAGTATAAAGATATTTTTAATCCAAGTATACTCTAATAATGTATCAGAAAACAAATAAATTATTGATATTTTTAATTATCTACATATACATATATTAATTAATTCTATAAACATATATGAAGAAACATGTAATGTATTTTATTTTGATTTATTTATTGTAAAAGATATTTGTACATTAAACCCTTTTACGAGAGTTTCACTATCTCAACAAATCGATCATTGTTACAAAAATCTTTGTATGTATGTGCGTACTGAAGTTTAAGAACTGAATATTTTTTTGTAAAAAAGCGTATGTATTCAGGATGACTTGTATCAACTTCTAAAAGCAAACGTCCTCCCGGCTTTAGGGCTGTAGCAGCATATTTTAGTAAAGGTTTAATGACTTTTAAGCCATCGTCTCCTCCATCAAGTGCCGTTAGATCTTCGTAACTGAAGAATATAATTTAAATTATAAATATTATATATATGTGAAAAAATATTAATTTATAATGTTTAAAATACTTTTTTGACTTGATATTTATTTACATCTTAATTTCTGGAGTTAATGTAGGTATCTGTTTGGTCGGCACATAAGGAGGATTACTAACTATTACATCGAAAATTTTCGAATTAAAATCGAGATCTTTGGTTTCACTTAATGCGTTCGATATTTCTATCGATCCATCGTCTTTCAGGGCTGCATGCACAACTGCAACTCGATCTTTTAAATTTAACCTATCTCGATTTTCTTTTGTTAATTCGCACGCGTCTGGATTTGAATCGATCGCTATACAATTAACCTAGAAAAATTGGTCTAGTTTTACGTATGAATCCTATTTGCAATAGTTATCAGAGAAAATGATTTCCAATAAAAGTAAGTAAATATATGCAAGATAGATAGCAATTGACTGATATAATAGTTACTGTTTTATCAGCATGAGCGATCGCAAGAGATATGGCTCCAGAACCACATCCAACCTCTAAGATTTCTTGTTTTTTATTTTCAGAAGAACGTAATGCTTTTAAAGCATAATGAACTAACATTTCAGTTTCTGGTCGTGGAATGAAAACTGGCGGAACTAATTTTAAAGTAATATCTTGGAAGTCCCATTCTCCTATTATGTATTGAACCGGCATTCTGTAAAGATTCGATTTTAGCCAAAGAATGATGAACAACAATTCTGTGAAAACTTTTTACCGAGATAATCGGCATTCGCACAACAAATCCAGTGTATCGCGCTGATCCGACGTAAGTCTTTTACTTCGCGCGTTCACAACATCTAATATCTGAAAATAAATTTTCGCTGAAATCCTATTTTTAAATATCGAATTTAATTACAAAGCAAATTTCATCGTTTTCGTAAGATTAAATAAAAATTGTATAAAAACAACTTATGTGTATGTATTTGCTTATATATTTTTTAAATATTATTTTACTTCGTACTCATATATACTCCATTTACAGGAGTAAAGATTATAACAAGATTTAACGAAAGAAAATATGTTTAAAACAATGAATATCAGTTGATAATTATTTTAGTGGTTGGTGCTGGTCATCATGAAAATACGAGAAAGAAGAATTTAAATTGTACGAGCATTGAATGCTTGGTAATGGTAATACCTTCCTAGTGCCTATAACGTGTGCAACGATGTGTTCGATCGATTCTACGGGTTCCGGAATACCTTCGTTCTTAAACCGGTCGCTCCATTGTTCAATAATTTCACCAACAGTAGGACATTGTACGTTCGTTGTGCACAAACTTCGCGTTGGTCGACTAAACGTGATAATTTTACCTTTACTACACTGTATACATGTTTCGGCACTTACAACACTGAAGAAAGCACGAGCACTCGAAAGACATCGAAGCAACATTATGTTTCATATAGAATAAGTTGTCGTCACCATCAAATTGTGTTCATAACCAACAATTATTTCACGCGATATACGAAATATCAAAATATCCTCCATTTATTAAACTCACGATTACCAGGCACGAATCACAATTCGTTATTCGTTCAATCCTGCTATGTGCTGCCAGCTGTTGAGAAATATATTTAATTACATTTTCTCGCAACACAACGTCGATCGAGCAGAGAAAGGATTGACATTGAAGAAGCAATGAGATATTTATGGGGCAGGTAAATCACTATATCAACATATAATTGTAAATGCTTACAATTACACAATACGTACATGAATACGAAAACTCATTAAACATGTGAATGAGATACACGGATTTCATAAACGATACAAGGCAAAATATGTGTTGCATGTCTGGAAAACCTATTTTGTTGAAATCGTTGTTATTTCGTAATATTGACCAATTAAATGGTTAATATCACACATGTCAGTCTTTTTTAATTCATAAGAAAGATTCGTCTTGCGTTCAGTCGATAACGTATCATCGATTAGGGGCGCATGCGCAGAATTGTATAACGGAAAGAAGGGTGCGGGCCTATAGGCCATGATTCGGTTTAGGACGCCAGCAGTCGCCACTGGTCCAACTCGCAACTTGCGACTCAGTCTGCCATGACAGTCGTCGGTGTCACACGAGTGCGCCGTTCAACTTCCGTCTATTATTGACTGTGTCTTTCTGACAAAGGGAACGATCCAATGGGCTAGGCTGTTATACGCTCCGACGGACACGTGTACCATCGTTTTCGAGTGACTATCGTATCGAACGGTTTGGATCTGGAGAATTATACGAATTGCACGCGTCTTTGGCCTAGTGAATGGCGGCGGGTGGTGTGGTGGCGGTGTTGTGACGTGTGTCTCGTGCTGCGTTGACTGTCAGTTTCGTCGTGTATCGAAAATCGCGTCGGTTCTGGATCTCGTGTGACATCATCGATCGTTGTTTACGATTCGCTCGATTGTATCGCAAACAACTAACCGATACACACGCCGCCCTGTCGCAACGCTTAACATTCCTTTCTATGATTGTACGGCATTTGTTTACGAGCAGAAGCTTTCCGTCGCTTAAAGAGCGTGAGAGTAAGGTGTGGTGAAAAATGACATGTAGATTCTCGCTGCTCTTTCGCTCTTGCTTCTCTTTCTCCTTTCCAACCTTCCCCCCTTCCTCTTTGTTCTAGGCACGCGTATTCCTATCCTTCCCTTCCGCCTTCACCCGACGGTATACCGGCGACTCGAAAGCCTCGCGAAGGTAAAAGTTCGCTGTCACGCGCGATTGTCACGATATTGTTTTCACACGGAACGATGCTTTCCGGTGATGAAATAACGGAGAAAGGAATTAATACGATCAGCCCAAGAATAAACTATCGAAGTGTATAAAAGTTGTGCTTTCGATCAATCGTCTTGCATCATATACGAAAGAACACTTTCAATTAGCTTTAACCAAGAAGAAGAGAGTGAGAGAGAGAGAGCCATTCTTCTGTTCATAAAGAAACAACGTAAGAAATAAAGCAAGAGGAAGAATCTTGTAAAAAAAAATACAGTTTTGGAATATCTTGCTTGGATTAAATGCCGGAAACGACCGGCCATGAAGAAACAGTTTGCTCTGGTAGGTTCACGCCCCTTTACGCGTCACGTCTCACCGTACCGTCAATCATCGACTGAAAATCTATCGATGTATTCGGTGTTTCGTGATCCGTGTCGCGTGAAAACCTAGTACTTAAAAATTTATCGAGTGATGCGCGAGTGTTGCTTCGTGTCTATCGGTACCGTTTCGATGTGGGAATAGATCGAAGCGTGGTGAAGAAAACGTGCCTCGTATTGTATCGTAAAATAACGGGGCATCGAAAGTGACGTATCGTTTACTCGGAATTCGTTCGTGACAGGGAATTTCCTGTTACCGATTTGCGCTCGCTTGGCGCGTACGCAACGTTGCGCGAGCGTGCACGCCCCTCCTCCCCTTCTTCCTCGTCGTCTTCAGAGTGCGATCGTGTATAGCCGTCGTAGGTCGTAGGGGAGTGATTCCGTCGGTTGTTTAGTGTTTGCACATAAGCGGCGGTGTGACCGGGCACACATAGTCGTTTCGATGGACAGTGTCGCGTTATGCGCGCGGGTCGAACCGAAATACGCGACACGGCGTGAAACTGTGCACGCGCCAGCTATCAATAGAGAAGAGATATCCTGTGTTATCTCTTTCTCACATTCGACTCAAGATCCGTGCTGTGAATGAGAAGATGTTTAACTTTATGAAGAAGGCTGCGGAGAAGGACGACAAGGAGAAGCGGAAGCGAGAGAAGAAGGAACGAAAAGATGTCAAGAAACGAGATCGCAGTAGTATGTCCGCTGAGGAATTGCTACGTTTGGATGAAGTACGTCTTTTTGTTTTGTTTGTTTATTTTTGTAAATTAATCTAGTTGAAACAGTAGGTTGAAGGTATTAGATATATGAATGATTAACACATAGTGTTAGTTTATTTTTAGTACAGTATTCTTCTCTTTTGGTACATGAAATGCGTAATATTATCTTGTTAAGATTTATCTCGTTCGTCCGATAAAAATTTGTCGAGATACGTCCATGCCGAATATGTTGAATGTTGACCTTTACGCGTTCCTTTCGTTGTGCTTATCTACAAAGTGGATATAGCGCGCGGATAATTCCTACGATTTGTCGAGTTTGAGTCACCCCAATCTTCATCTTTTATCTATGAGTTCTGTTTTTTTGGGAGATTCGAACACCTTTAAAGAAGTTTGTAGGGTAGCGGTTTGACGAGTGGTATGTGTTCACCATAGTAACAGCATACCACAGATATTCCGTCATACGCTTTAGAGGAATTTTCCGGCTTTATTTCTTTTCTCTTCAATGTGTATATTTGAACCTTGATATTTAATACATTTTTCTAAGTTTTTGTTTATCATGATGTCAGTATTAAAGATTATAAATGCAAATAAGTAGCTGCATTAGTCGCGTTTTACTGATTTGTTAATTTATGAAACGTAACTGTATACATTCTTTAAAATTTACACGTGTATTAAAAGTAGGCCATTTTTTATATACATTTTGTGTGTTGTTGTAATCTTTACATTTGATAACAATTTAAAATTCGCTGATTACATTCTTTTGTTTATTGAGATAAGACGTTTCATAACAATTTGTGTGAAAAAGATTGTAATTCTTTAACGGATAACGTATTACACGTTAAGTAATAAGTAACAGGGTTTATACGTAGAATGATTCCATAGTAAAGTATATAGGATGTCTTAAAATAAATTTTGCTTGAAATAGTGCATAGTAGCAATTTTATATGAGAAAAGTAGAAACAATATTTGTTTCGTTGTTTTTGCAGAATTTAATGAAATAAAAATTGCCTGTATAATAAAAATTTTAAGATTTTATTAATTTTATATTCTAAATAAAATTCTCCATTGTTCCTGATATTTATTTGATATTAAACTAAAGATGATATCATACTGACCTCGTGCAAAGTAACCTCGAGATAATTCAAGGTCATTCAGTAGTATGTGAGAGATACATGTATTGGTAAGAACAGAAAATTCTTCGAATATTCGATACATTGTAACATCGGTTTGTTTTCTTTTACAAACGTAAATAAAAAATTAGATTGCTACTTTGAGAATATATTAACGCATGTAAATATTCCAAATTATTCATCATTACGATATTTTTTACACAAAATGTATAATTTTGTACAAGGTACAAAATATGTAGTTACGCTTTTAAATTATAATTAAGGTGACTTTCATATAATATAATTAAAGTGTGTTGAATCATTTTTTAAATTTAACAACACATCAGCTTAAGGATATGGTGATTTGTGTAAGTATTTTTTGTTCCTTTCCTTATAAATCATGTAATAAACGAGGAATTCATATTATCTCTGCATCCCGCTCTATTTTTCGTAAAAATTGGAAAATATCAATTTTTATTTGTACTTCGTAAACTAAAATTTTCTCATCTTTCTTGCCTCCATATAAATGTTGAAACCTTTTCGTTATTTTATATTAATTTCAAATTGTATCATTATAATCATAATAGTCGTACATATCATTACAGTGTTTATGGAAACAATTTCGTATAACATATATTATAATATGCTCGGAAAAATTGTCTACGATAAGTGTTCGAATACTTTCCCGAATCACTGTACATAATTCGTTAATTCAATAATATTTATCGTATTTAATATATATACGTAATAATAAAAAAAGACGAACAGTCTGCTCACTGTTTCGTTCATCGAATTAAAAAATAGTCAACGTATCCGAGAGACGTTTAATGCAAAGTGAAGCGAACGATGTTAGAGCGTTAGAACGTAACGTGGCTGTTTAACATTTATTTCTATAAATTCTTATATCAGTTTCTCTCTCGAACTTTCTGTGACCGTATATTACGTTTTTATAACCTTAATCATTCTTCATGCCCGTCCGTTTTATTTAGAAACATATTTGCCGTTGTGCACGATGATAAATGCCATGAAAAATTCTCTGATGCATTGGAAGTAATTTGTTTGTCGTGGACGTATAGTAGTAGTACCGTATGTACCTTGTAATTAGAGAGGAAATGCGGATGCATTATCAGCAGGTAATGGAACTCAAGTGAAAGTGTTATATCATTAAGTCTTGTTCAATTCTCAGTCGGTGATTATTAAGATATCAAGATCTCAACATTTGTGCTAAGGCATATGCAATTGCAGATCTAAATATATAATTATGTATTAGGTTATAATTATCATGTACTTTTGTGTATTATGTACCTTAGAAAATAGTCTTTTATTCAGAGTACGGATAGAACTGTAACTTATTTGCAGTTAGCATAATTCAGGTAGGATGTTACAGCGTGCAACGTTCTTGCAGTTTATTTCTGCAAACGATGCATTATTAGTTTTTTTGTTTAGTTTTCAGAGACTTAAAAAACAGCAGTTTCATTCAATCATCGATTTGTTTCGAAGATAATTGAATTACAGCCCAGCGCTGTATTTAATTAGAGACCTTTTCGAATTACGAAATCGAGGGCACTTTCATAGTTACTTAATTACACTTGAATTTGTAATTGTTCCGACATCGGTCATTGCTCCCTCTCTACGTATGTCTGTTACACGTAGTTTCATCGTATCGTATATCTTCGCGCTAATTTTTCTCGGAACGTACACGATTACTTTTGTTGTAAAATAGCAATAGCGGAAAATAGTCGATAGAAGAATATTAAAATATCTTCAAATGTTAAATTATTTATTACTCGAATCATGAACATACATTGTTAGTTTTTTAATTAAATAGAGCACACGTAGACAAATAATTTTCCATTCGTGGAATTTTATTAATTAACATTTAAAGTTTATACTTAAACATCGAAGCTATAATTAGTTTTTTACCCTATTCTCACACAACTCTGCAATTTATCTTTTCCTGTTTTGGTATCTAATCTCGGATATCAGGCGATTATTTCCTCTCCCTTAAATTCTTTATCGATGAAACGTGTTTAGAAAATCTGTATTTCCAACAATTATTTATTGACCAATCTCCTTAGTATTTTTTTTATTGGTTGACAAATATGGTATCATAAAGTTCATTAAAAGATAGAGTCGTGAATGGAAAGTATCGTAGTAAACTTGTTATGCATTATTAACTTGAAGTGCATTTATACGTCATTTTCGCATACTCTTATGCAAGGATACTTGATACGAAAGATCTAGGAAAAGGAATAGGCTTTAGAATGGATACGTCATTGTTTCATCACGTACGGCTGCCTCTCAGGTATTCGTTTCCTTAGATCTTTCGTATCGAATATCTTTGTAGTATATACCTCGCAAACAGCATGTTTCTTATTAAATATGTCCTTAATATCTTTTTGATATTGCATCAAATTTCAAAGAAAATAATATTGCAAGTGGATGAGTATGTGGGCACAGCGTGTGAGAGAAAAATGATCCAATACTATCTTGTTTTTCATATTAAACCAAATAACTTTCTGGGAAACTAAATTTCTGTTTGGCAATGAAAAGCAGTGGAATATAAACCAAGATGCATACGTTGAAACACCAAGTTCAAAATCTTATCTTGTATATTTCACGTTTTATTACTGTACATTTGCAATAAAATGAAATTAAAGGAAAGAAGATCGTATTAAGAAAATCATTAGAAAAGGAAACTATGTATTAGATGGGTAGAAAAGTTCTGTCGAGTTTTATACGATAAAGATATAACCAGTTTTTTAATATTTTAATTTCTTTTCTATTTATGTATTTTCTACACTAAATGCTTCCTTATCTATTTCTTAACGTAAATAATATTTACACGCCATTGTATTCATTATATAGCATTAAAAAATGGCAATTACAAGAATTTGGTATTATGAGAATGAAATTTAAAATCTAGCTTTAAAAAAGGCTACATTGGAAAATAAGGGTATGTGCGAATACTTTTTCTGGCTACTGTATAACATTGTTTCCTATTTATACCTATAATATGTACATTGTAACAAAGTTTGACTGGAAAAATGACCAAGTGTATCTGTTTCATTTGCAGGTTCGGAGATCGTTAAAGATTCCTGGTCGCCGGAAGGAGAAGGAAAAGTTACCGAGTGGTATCACCGCAGACTATAGTGCTTCGTTCTTCGCTTACTTGGACCGTGATATCTTAGAAAATTCGCAAAACTCTTCAAGCTCAGGGCAAAGTGTTCGCACTGGTAATAATTGGAATACGAGAACGCCGGATGGTTTGACACAGAGTGACTCTTCTGAAACTTCTTTGACTTCATTGACTATCACCACCACTACGTCTTCGGTTACACCAACCAACGTATCCGGACAATCAGGGAAGAATCTGCCACCACTGCCGCCAAAGCCTCCGAAGCGAGGAATTCTTAAGGGACCACGTCTGAGTGTCAGTAATACTGTGAATTCGTTGTCAGAGGAAAGCCATCTGCCGAACGGAAACGAGACCAATTACCAGGAGGCCAGCAATTTACTGGTCAGAAACACGCTGCAGAACGAGGTGATCGCTTACCAGAACGTGCCCACACACTTGTCAGGATTTGGGAACGCTGTTAGCAAGGAGGAAGCTTGTAGCGAGGAGGAAACGCAGACAGGACAAAGCTCGTGGCAGGTATCACCTCAGCGAACAGTTCAGCAGGCTCAGCAGCAGCATCAGCAGCAACACCAGCAACAACAGCATCATCATCACCACCAAAGCGACACCAAACTGTTGCAGGTTAGTTGGAAGGACCAAATTGGTTTCTGTTAGAGGCTTTCGCTGGTATTCCAGGTGCTCGTGGCTTGAAATTCATGCTGTCCAAGCTCAGCTTCGCAGCTGAAAGATCTTCGTGTTTCATTAGCCTGCAGAGAGAAGTACAGAGAGGCTAGCTAGTCTGATACTATACCTATGTGTCTCCTAATGCAAACACTTCTAGCCATCAACTCGTACTTTAAGGGAACTGTTTTCAGTAGTATGGTAATGCGAGTAGTTGATAACTCGTTTCATGCAATTTGTAACACTAGTGGTTTCTGAATTTTCTACTCGAGGCTATTATTACCATATCGTTGTTACATAAAATATTACCGTACGAATTAGGCTGGTTTGCACATAATTTATTACAAAATTACGATCCTAACTCTCATATTTCAGCCTCTCTTGATTGCTTTTGGTATACATTGGTAGCATTTAAATATTTTCTCTCTGTAACTGCTTATATGTGCGACACATTTTATTTTATTGTACTTATTATTAATTTGTGTTTAACGATCGAATTGCAATTTATATTTTACAGGTGGTGACCAGTGCAAGCCCCTCCGCAGACTCCCTAACAGACACCACGAATTCCAGTTTCGCAACACCACCATTCAGCCTGTCGCCCGTAGGAGAATCCCAGGGTTTGTCGAGGTGGAGATCCTCGGCGTCCTTTGAAGAACAAGGCGTCGAGTTGCAGTTACCAGAGATCGTCCCTCTGGAACTGCCCGAACCTCGCGAGCTTACGATCCAAAGGCAACCACCACCGCGAAACGATTTCGGTTTCTCGTTGCGTCGAGCTGTAATCGTGGAACGAGCCGCAAATGGTGTCACACAGATGAGACCTGTGATCTTCGCTGAACCAGGTTCATTGATACAACATAACAACGACACCGGGTTGCTGCCAGGCGACAGGCTGATCGAAGTCAATGGAATTAACGTCGATGACAAGTCACGGGAAGAAATTATCGATCTCATTAAGGGCTCCGTTAACAGTGTTACCGTAAAGGTGAGTCAAGACAATGATTATAAAATATTTATAAAAATTTGCTATCCATCTTGGTAGAGTTGAGATGCTTTATAGCACAAGTTTAATACCAGCGTTGCAACATTTAAGAGTTTGTTATTAGATCATTCATAAGTAATGCAAATTTTCTCACCTGCTATATAGGGTGCCCTATCATCTACTTTTGTAAAATCTTATAAGTAAAAATGAGAAAAGGATATTATACTTACATCTGATGAAATATAATATTCGTTTGGAAGGAGAACAGAAGGGTTAAAAAGTTGATACTTCGTTCCGATGAGAGCAACAAATTCAAGTAAAACACGATAAAAAGGATAATCCAAAAATATAATCTATACTCTAAATTTTTCCAAAGTAAGAAGAAATTGATAAGCAGCATCTTTAATCCCCACTTTCTTGTTTCGTTCTCCACGATGAAAATGGTTACACGGGATCGTTGGCGTTGCCGGTAAAAGTGAGAGCGTTCACAGGTACGCTTGGTCGGTTCGAAAGGTGATCGGTGTACGGAACAGAGAAACTGGTGTGATCATGGTTGGTTCATTGCCACTGATGCACCGAATATAGCGGGATCGTGACTCATGACCCATAATAAAACTATACTTGGACCGGGAGCGTCGCGTGAAAATAACTTCTTACCGTGGGACCCAACCGATGATCTTCTATTGGTCCTTGGTTGTGACAGTTGGTCACGAACTCGGAGAATTAAGTACTTAAGTACTTTGTTAGACTTCTTACTGTCAAAGCTGTGCAAGCGTAATTAGATTTGTCGACATGAACTTGCGATACGATATTTTCTATTTCTGTGTGAGATTCTCAATGCCCACTGCCGATAAATAAGCTTCCTTTTTATTGATTCTCCTATCGGGTTTACAACAATAAACCCATCGTGATTTACGCAGGGTTTTATCCTGAGTTAACCGGGAAGAATGAGTCAACTCGTCGCTCGGATTTATAATCTCTAGAATATAACAGATTCTTTATTTGCGAATCTCCTTTCTTTTAACGCGCCGATCATTTTTTTTAAAAATAAAAGGGAATTAACATTGACCCAATTAATTAGTGCTATAATTATATAGAAGCTTTTGATTAAGAAAGGTGCTTGGAACATACCATACATCCTCTAGGCTTTCTGAGTTAAAAGAATAACAAAATTTCTCAAAAGATCTCCTCTGCAAAAAGACTACTCACATCGACTCCCAATTGGTATCGTTGTGTCACGGACGACACATGATCAGAGTTTGGTTTAAATTATGCAATTTCTGCAAAATACACTATTTCTGTTCGCATCTATGTATCCTACTTCGTTCCTTGTATAAAATGGCAAACAAAACATACTCTCGAAGTAGCATAAGTTTGTCTAGTTTTATCGTTGGAACATTTCCAGTTCTGGTTGTAAAGTTCCTAGAGGAGGATGTATCGATTAGGCTTGGGGGCCTTCGTACAGGTTCATGCCCTGGTTCTCCTTCTCGGTAAACCAAACGGTCTTAACAGAAAGAACGTAACGTGATTTACATACTTATACTATGTACAGCTAGGCCGCTTGCAGGTGTTCTCTCGGTCAACATCCTGTTTCCTGTGCTGTATACGCTAGACGGAAACCACTTTAATCTTCTTGAGCTCGCACACGCGGCTAGAAAGTAGTCTGAGGCATCCGTTACACGCGTGATATCTGTTTAATGCGTGCGATTAGCTATGATCTTATCAACGTGTACAGTTGATCCTTTATTATCTGAATTCCTAGCATCCGAATACCGGTAACTCTTGTACTACTTGTTAATTGCGGTAATTCCTTTGGAATAGCGAACTACTATTATTATCCTTAGGGAATGTTACTCGGGATATACTGGCAAACTGTATTGTGTGTATTATTGGCTTGGAAACTAAGCGATTGCGGGTTTTGTCATTAGGTGGCAATGACAACATAGATACAATAGATTTGTAAATTGTAAGTTGTAAGTTTGCAAGTGTAACAAGTTCGTTCTCGTTTCTTTGGAGAAATTTTTATATGATCATAGAGAAAAATATTAGAAGTAGATATTTGTGTTAAATCTTTACTTTGATTTTATCACTGGAAAGCAACATCAAAATATAAGATAGTTCAATGGGAAAAATTTATTGGATCCAACGATGTAGTTTGAACAGAATGGAAAAACATACGTTTAATGGAAAAAATAAATTAAGAAGGAATTTTGAAAATGGATTTAATGAATAACTGAATTTTAAGACTGCCCCTTTGTTCTTTTAAAACTTCTCATCTTCAATTTTATTTCAATTCCATGTTAAACATTTTTTTTTAAAAAGCTTGTTCGTTAAGATAAAAGTGAAATTGAAATATAAAAGTTTGAGGTTCCTAGTAGAATAGTCTGAAAAAATTGCCTCGTTCGATCGATCCAAGCTTTTTCTTATTCTTATGTCACGTAATGAAAATGTGGTTGGTTAAAGCGGAGACTAATTAAAACGGGATCGAATAAGAGAGTGTCTGTTGTATATAATAAACGTGTAATAGAATGCGTAATGGAATACTTTGTTGTTTGCAGGTGCAACCGGTCGCGGAATTGTCGGAATTATCAAGACGCGGTGGTAGCGACGGACGCCAGGTCGAACTTGCGGCCGCGAATATTCGTGGCGGTACACTTCGTCGATCTGGTAGTTTGCGGTTTCATCAAAACATGGTGAGTATTCTGTTTTCTGTCTTAATCCCGCGGTGAGATCGTTTTGCAAAGAGTCTTGGAAGATTTCTCTCCCGTCACGCCACAAAAGAGAGTGCACACCTTTTCAGTCGCCTGTTTGATTTAATAAAAAAAAAAAAAAAAATGTAATAGCCATTTATTTAAATAATGGCCAAGTTCGTTTGAATTATGGTAAAGTGCTTTATTAATCAAGCTTTCTACGAGATACAGAAGGATTAATAAAAAGAGAAACAGAGAGAAGAAGAATGCTTTGGATAATAAAAGTTTTATTATTTAATTGCAAATTGAATTACAAAATGAATATCGATGAAATACCAAATAGCAGTTGGTTTATCATTCGATTGCAAATCGTGTTAAGAAAATGAATACAATTGACAAAATATCAGATACAAAAGGAAACGAAACGAGAAACTATGGAGAAGATGAGGTAGGAAATAAGCGAGCGGAAAAAGTGAAAGACGCGATGGGATTGTTTGGTACTCTAACTCTAACAGGAGGAAAGGTGTAGAGGGAAAAAGACAATAGTAGGGACGGATGCCTTCCACCCACATTCCTCGCGGCGGTGCAGTGGCATAGTAATCGCTTAACGGTACATCTGCTGACTTGCCCGTTCCGTAATACCAGCTTTCTGTCGAATCAAAAACCGGAATCCTACGATAATAGCGCAATTACACGGTAATGAAGCTTTGTCACTTTTTATCGCCGCAAATTAAGTAGCTAGTCACAGTGGCAGTTTATGCATATTAATTATTCGTTTATATCTAGACCGTGGATTTTTATACGTTGATAAAAAATTCGACGGTGCAGAAATGGACAGAATTCAAAAGAATATCTAATTTATATAAAATATCCAAAACGGAGTATGAGTAACTGACGATAAATATAGTAACTTGCAAGTTGTACGTGGTTTGAAAGGGTCGATCGTTCATATTTTTCCTGATATATGGCAATGAAGTAGGTATTTATAATGAGATATATCGTACGTATGTATGAGAACAAAGTCGAAGAAACTAAGGCATTTTTCTAGATACAGTGGTGCTCCTTTGTTGATATCACGACGTTGTTATTAATGTTTAAGCATGTCGTGTAATTTTGTTGAAAACGACGTACGCGAAGACTACATTTTATTTCAGCATTATCGGCGTCAAACCGCTTCGATAACCGATGTTAAATTGCTGTTTGTTAACGCTGCAGTAAGATTATTAGGAATAAATATAACAGCATCGAAGATAACGTTTAATCTAATACAATAAAGGAAGGTATTATTTGTTGAATGCTCGATGCTTTCGAACCATGCCTCTTGCTTACTCATTGTTTTCTAAGAAAGTGCTTTAAATCAATTTTCAGTATCTCTAAAAAATAAATTAACCTGAATGGAAACTGATTTGCTATCATACGACATACTATGCAGTTAACGCGATATTTATTAATTAATTTCGAGATTAATTTTTATTTTCTTTTAGCGCGTACCCAGCGACTTGTTTCAATTTGAATATTTAAACGAGACACATGCGATGATCGCGATTTTAATATTTTATCAATCAGTTTCAATCGTAAACACTTACGTTCGAGTATGTATATCCCATGAAATTTTAATTAAACTTCGGCAAAAAATTAGCAATTGATGATTGATGATGTTATCGGCGGTTCGTGATTCGCATTTTAATATTTCGCATGATTAATATTTTCAATTATCAATTGACGATTAAAGAATGGCATCAACCGATGAGATCAGTATAATGCAATGATTAATTTCTTTCGATCATGCACATCGATTAACAAAAATAAATAAAAAATTCTTATCAGTCACTTATGTCCGATAGTAATGTCTGGAATAATCGCAAAAGATTTAAGTGAAAAACAATCGAGTATAATTTATTTATACGATCTCTTCTTTAGTTAATCGAGTTTCACGAAATACCAAATAATATAAATAATAATAATAATAATAGCGAATAATATAGTCGCGTCGTCTCAACGATTAATTTACGCTTGAAGAAAATTAAACAAGGTGAAGCGCCTCTGATTAAGCAATCACCGGCTGTTTCCATGATTTGCTGCCAGCGATAAATACCAAGTACAACTTCCTATCATTTCCAAGTTAATGCATAACGAGAATTCTGTCAGAGCCACGGCATTTTGCTGTCCGTTAATCGTCGTCGTTCGCGACAATACCGTGCGAAAGTGGTAGTTGCTGTAGAAATGTATGTTATTGAAACGCCTTGCACTCGCCTTGGGACGTGTAATAAGACGAGCGCGATAAAAATATGCAGGGTGCGTCACATGTAGAAATGGAACGAAAGTTCGAATCTGGTTGCATAGTTTCGAGTGATTCGCGAGTGCATCGAAAAAGAAAAGTGATGCCTTCAAGTAGAAGCTAGGCGAAGATAGTAGAGATAGATTTGAACTTAAACTCGTTATACATAGGTTGAGAAATGTAAACGGTACTCTTTGATTTATTGAATTGAATTATATTTACTATAGTATTTAGATACTCGCAATATATGAATTTTAAAAAATTCGCAGAGGAGCTCCTAGTATGAATATTGTGTCTGTTGTTTTGTATTTTGAGTTGCAGCAATAAAAGTAAGGTCATATGCTTTCTAGCGCTATAAGAGCCTTTTAAATGGCAAGGAGGTAAAAGCAATGCGATAGAATTTTCCGATAGCTGGCCTGTTAAAGTTACGCCATATGCTGTAAGGCTATCTTCTTTATTTCAAGAACTTTTCATTCCACCTCCTCGGTTTGTGCATTATTGACTTCATTCTATAAATACGTATATCAACAGGAAAATATGTATTCAAGATTAAATACCTGTTAAGTATATATTTCAAATGTATATTAATTTTTTGAAACTTACAATTTCACATTAATTAAGCGATTATTCATCATTTGTTGATCATTGTTGTTATTGTCTACTTTCCTATTATATATGAATAATTAATTAACTAAATTTATCTGAAAAAAATGTATTTGGTATATAATCCGGATTTGTATGCTATAATTGGTTGCAATTAGTCTACTCAAAACGAGGTTCGTATCTCTGCTGAAACAACATATGTGTATTTATATGTATTGATGGTTGGTAAAGTAGAGTGCGATCGAGTGGATCCGATGTACTAACGGTCGATTTACTAACTCGGATGTACTTTAGCAACAACCTGTTTGTACCTTTGCAATGAGTTGACGAGCAAAATAAATTATTTCTGATCTCTTATTTCTGGATGATACTAAGAATAGTATTAGAATTATTATTGCCATATTGATGGTATAAATATTAATGTTAACCATAAAAAGGAGGAGAAGAAAGGATGGAAAGAATTTCTAAGTTAAAAATAGTAAAATTAATTCCTAAAGTTAAAAGTAACGATTTCACGGAAACTACCTTTTATATTTCCTTTTACATTCTTCGCGTCTTTCATCTTCATAACGTTCAAGTGCTTCTGTCTAATTATAGCAACCACTGTATGCATTATACTAATCATTGATCGCGTGTTCTTCTTTCATGTTATTCCAAAAGCAAACTAACCAACTGGCTCCTCCTGATAACTTTGTTCTTTGCGCTAAAATACAGATGGCTTCGTTTAATCTTCTACTTGTCGTACACGTGAACGGTAATTAATGATGTAAACCACGCACTGTTAGTTTGTATTCATGGCGTTCACGTTGATGTAAAATTGTACGATCAAAATTACACGCTACTGCATTACGTGTGAACGCATTATTCTGTCCATTTGAATTGCCGTGCAGGATGAATGTGCTTATACAAGCAACAATGTTAATCGAATTGGATCAAGGTTTCTTGGTTATGACGTTTTTACAAATTCAACGAACGAATCTACGATTTAGAAAACAATTATTTCCTCGAGATTTTCTTTATTTCTGGCGTCAGATACAGGTTAGCAACTAAGTGATTGCGGATTTTATCATTAGGTGGTGTTGACAAAATCCGCCATCACTTAGTTGCCAACCCAATAGATACTTTGAACTTTTTATAGGGAATATTGATACCTATGCTACGTATGGTGAAATAAAAATATTTTATGGTCAGCCCGAGTCTTTCTCCAACTACTCTGTGTAAATGTTAATTTCTTCAGTTCGTGAATTTATTTCCTAGACAAGTCAGGCTTTGTCACGAAAATTTTATTTCCTAATGTTTGCCTGTCACGATATTTAAATGGCTAGTAATTAATTTGTATAACATGCTGTTACAAGTAAGCAGTAGTTACTTAGCAATGAGTAGTCTATTTCTGCTCCATTGGCTAACAGTTATCGATATAATTGAAGCGAGATCGAATAACGCGTTTAATAACACGGTGAAATTGATCCGTAACGCACTCAGGTAATATATTACACGCGTCTAAAATTAAATTAATATTTGCAGTCTAGGGAACTGAAGAACACAGTGTTACATATCGAGTTAGAATTAGCAATAAAATAGGTTAGACTATGTCTAAAATACGAACGTAATTATTTTGTTATTTCTTCATTTCTTTCTTTTCGTAGTGGCAGAGATCTTTTAAATTAGTAGAAAAATCAACGATATGATAAGCACTGGCTTAGTGGAATTGTAATAAATATTCGGAGACAGTGTGAGATACAAGGAAAAGAAAATAATTCACGCGATACGTTAATTTTACGAATGGCGGCGATTTAACGGCAGTCAAATTCTTCAACATCGTCACTGTAGGGCTGTAAAGTAATGTTACGCAGGAACAGGCGGCATCGAAAAGGATGCACTTATAGGTGCAGTCCGAGAATGACGTCAACCTATTGCCTTTCTATAAATATCGAGTTTCCAAAAGAAGTTCGTTGCCCACGCTTGCAACGCGAACAACAAGGTACGAGAGTTTAATGACCGTCTTCACCACCATTTTAGCCTAAACTCTAAACCACTGAAACTCCCTTCAGATATTTTCTATTTCTATATTGATATTATTATTATACACATATACTAGGTACTGTTTTATGCATATTCTGATTATTTCAATCATTGCGGTCCTTCGTAGCTAGATAAAAAGTACTGTAAGTTGACGAATCAAAACTGCAATTATTATTAATTTTTTTTTACGCCAGGAACCCAAAGAAAAATTGCCAGCTCTCGTATATTATGCCAGCAGTTTAATATAGAGAAGTTTCCAACACGATTTGGCGATACTTCGAAGCAAAGAAAGTTAGTATTACGTGCAATATATATTCATTGATATACACTATATTCATATCAATAACGTGAATCATTCTACTTAAGAATATTTACATAAATCTTTGGTCCAATTCCATCAAGTTGTCAAATATTCGATCACTCGTTCTATTAGGTTGGCAACTAAGTGATTGCGTATCTTGTCATTAAGTGGTAATGACAAAATCCGCAATCACTTAATTGCCAACACAATAATGTACACAAAATTCAATATCTTTCTACTAGAAGTAATATTTTATCGACGGTGTACATTTAAGGTCTAACATTTTCCTATTAAATTCAATTTATAGTAAACGCTATGGATACTCGAACAAATCGGTATTTCGTAAAAGAGTGGATAGGTTGGAGATGAAATTCGAACTCGACCTGGTCGCGATTATACGATCGGTAGGTAAGAGGAACGATCTGTAGGCAAGGAAGCACAATGCAAATATTGAATGTGGTTTGCAAGAGGATAATGCTGATGACTCATGTCGAGTGACAGGCCGGACTGACGTTGGTGAATAAGTACACCGGTGAATATTGCGGATTGTTGCGAGCACACGCACCGATACACGACAAAGCCGTGGCATACTTACGCCTATCCGAAACGAGGCAGTTTTCAAGCTGTAACATCATTCGTGTCACGTTCGCTGTTTTTTCGGACGTAAAGCAATGCAAGTGTTGCCTACGTTCGCTCTTATACGCAAAAGCAACCCCGTGAAAAGGACTCGAAGAAAAGTGGTTGCAGCTTTTTCAAAGGCAATCGAAATGTTCATTCTGCAACATATTTCGAAGTTGCTGACGTACGTTATCGCTGAAAGGTTTGGAGCATCCTTCGCTATTCAGGCAAACAGGTCGTTTCAGGCAAAAGGAGGATACGACTAATTTAGAAGATTCGTTTCTTCGCGAAATAGAGAAGCAGAGCGCTAGGTGTTATGCTGCGATTCTCCAATTTTTACATTGCAATTTATTGCTCTTGTTTTAGCATACAAAGAGAAGAAACTTTGATATAGAATTTAAACCAGGAACCGTACCACCCAATTTTCACATCAATAACAATTTTTCCATATTTTCTTCAAACTTGAGATGCCTTTTAACATTAGAAAAATGCGGATGGACTGTAATGGACTGGAATATTGAATCTTCTTATGAAAGAACGTAGCTGGGTTAAAAAAACGGTGAGAAAAGGGAACTAATATCACGCTCTTTCACAGAAGTAGACGTTCTTTCGCGGAATCAGTTACCTGCGAACTTTCCTTGCCAAATCTGTCTCCCTGTTATCAGATCTTCCATACAAGAAAACGTTATTCACATTTCGCGAAACAGTTTCATAGAAGAGGCGCGAAAGCGAGATGAGCGGCAACTCGTTGGTTGATTAATAGAAGTAGCAGTTGCATCAAGCCACGTTAGAAAGTAAAGGCTAATTAAATCTGCGCGATTGTTCCTCATGATTTGTTGCGCTACTAGGTTGAGTCTGTTACGTTACGGTACCGCTACAAGGATCCAGCCTACGCTTTAATTCTAGTTGTTTCACCTTCCACAGCCTCTCGTCTCGGCGCCGTACCTTGTCATTTTCGCATTCAAGATTTTACCATACTTTTCGAATAGCATTCTTTACTATTCGCGAACAAATACGTTTGTGTTTTTTAAAATCGTAATGAATTATTCATAATCATAGCATACCAGTGAATTCTTTTTCATTCACTATTCATTTTCTTTAAATACCTATAATATGCATAAAATTTTCATGTATAACGTTTAATAGGTGATACTTGAAGTTAATTACCCTATTAAGATCGTGTATCGAGTAACTGATCGATAGAACGACATCCGACAGAGGGAATGTCGCGTAATGTTTTGGAAGTGTCTGTACTGGTATTAAACTACGGGGCAAGAGGTTTTTAAACAGAGCAACGTTGCTACTTGGAAAATAAGCGATGTAGAACTAAAGAGAAGTAGGAGGGTGGTAACTCCCAAATATAACTTTTAAAGTAGTGTCGTCAGTCTTTGAAGCGGTTGTTACGCTCCACTCAACGAGATTTCAAGTATTCTTCGGTGTACAGCGGGCAAACAACTCTTTGAAGTAGCGTACTAAAACTTCTACACGATCGTAAATTTTAAAAAGCGCCAGTGAACCGTAATTGCCTATTTCATCTCACACACTCAAATTCAAAATCTCGTCAATGTTCTGTCTCAAAAAGGAAAGAAAAGAAAGAACATATGGAATGGCTACGTGATAGAAAAATCCTCCTTTTAAAATGATAAATATTTTGAATATTTGTTTTCATTACAGATTATCCATTCATAGTGTCCGCTCACAATTGTTCTCTACGTCACACGCTTCGATTGTCTCTGGGGAATGCAGCATCCATAGAAAAGTCTATAGAATTCTGTTACAGTGCGTGAATCTTTTTAAAGCTTAAGAAATATTCGCCCCTGAATGTATTAACGTAGCCGGCACGAGAATCTTGTAACAAAGCTCAGAGCCGGCATATTCTAAATACTTGAGCTCGTAAGCAAACACGTGTCTCAAATTTTCTCCCATACTTTCTTAACTTGCGCAAGCTGGACGGCTTTGTTGGATCTAGAACTCGGTTGTCCACGTATGTACCGTGTCTCTGGGCTTCTATGAATCGGCGTGTCACGTAACGACAGCGTAGAAATTGTGCTGTGGTAATTCGCCCACGCTTGCTCGCACAACCTCGTCGTTTCTCGCCTTTTGCCCGTATAATACATCTCCGGTTCGTCGAAGAACGCGTGACGTCGATGTGTCATCGGACCGGGATGATTTTAGGTACCAGCCAGAGCACGGACGACAACATATTTCACTCGTTTAAAAATCTGGCTACAAAGGAATTCTTCGCAGCTATTGAGAACCCGGCTTCCCACGCCTTCCGCAATGTATTCTCGTTCATCTGTTACGTGTCGCCTTTCAATGCATCGCGTAATCATGCGTTTGATCTTCCCCATTTCTTCTGCCATGGGACACGGTCTACGCCTCATCCTTGTCGATCCGATAGTAAAGGGAATTTTTAAATGACGGACTTAGAGGATAGATGGATTATGTAGACAGGTTCACTAAATACTAACGATAGTATACTAGAAAGTATCGTATTGTATTTACGAATATATTATATTTGTAAATTTTGAATATAAATATTTTACAATTTTATTAGCGCTGTTACGACACTGAGTTTTTTTTTTTTTTATTTAATTTGTACTTCACGATTTGTCCAGCTGGGCATTTGGTAAATTTGTCTATCTTAATCGCTAAATACCATGTGGATGGCTACCCTCAGCGGGATACCATCTTCGAGTTTGACTATTTTATTTCTTTAGTGAGGTCAGTGGAGTGTTTTCTTTTTAGTCTTTTTTCTACGAGAGCTCTGCTCGCTTCAACAGCCAGCTGATGTGTATTGGTAAAATCTGAAACAAATCTGAAAATATGTTCCATAGGAATTATACGCAACATGTAATCATAGTAACTAATAATTAGTAATAGAAATATATTTCACTAATTAACCAAATCTATTAAATTACCGTCTTTTATTCTTACAAGTTTCTAATTGAAACTTTTATCATGTAGATCTACGATTGTACATATACAAAAAATATTTAGTACAACAAACTCACTATCTATATAGTATAGTTATTACACCCAAATATAAATATCAAATGTTCTTTTATCTGTATTTCAGATCGCAATCTCTCGCACCGACACAAAACTCTGATTGATTGGTCGTTTGCCTGATAATTTAGATTAATTATGACATTAGTAGTCGTTAACTGTAACATATTTATGATCCTGTAGTGCATGCGTAACCTGGCTGTTTTAGGGATTTTATAGAAATGCGTCTCTTAAGTGGGTAGATAAGTGTTAGGCGTAGGTCGAGAGATTTCGTAGGCAGATTTTTTTCTCCTTGTCAAGTGTTGTCAAGTATTTCTAATATCAGAAATATCATTGAAAATGTTTTCTCCTAGCTTACCAGCAATGTTTATGGAATAATGAGTTTTTTCATTTTCCATCCATAGTTGGTAATAAAATCTATTTTAGGACATTCGTGTGTGGCATATAAATGTTTAAGTAGCGTTCGGTTATATTGAATTACTAGCTTAATCAGGAAATGACAGGCGTGCATTTTATGTTTGACCTTGACGGCAACAACGTAGACTCCATACAGAATATTATTCATCCGGAAAATTCCATTTCACGTAATGTTTAAAACATACACGCGATTGAACTGCAAATGACTTGTAACTCTAAATTCCAGTTGAAGAAGTTTCGCTATTGATCGGTTTGATTACTATGTTCATTTACATTTCTTTGTATGTTTATCCTAAAGTCAAAAGTTAATCTGTTTGCGCTAAGATAAGAAAAGAATAATTATAAGTTACGATTTCCAGCGAAGATTATCTCGTTCCCGATGTCTTCCACTACGACGACGATTATTCCAGGAAAAAGTTGAACCGTTAAACGCAACTATTGTACATCGAAGCTGGAAGTGTAAAAAGAATTAGAAAACGGTATACACGTTTACCACGTTGTGTGTGGGCAAATGGAAAAACTTTTGCTCCGCTCGTTCCCTTCTGTAATTTTTTCTCTGCCCGAAAGTGTAATCGAGCGTCCCTGGTTAGCTTTATGAATACACGACAATCTGTGGTGGCATACATCACCAGAGGATCGCACAAAAACAGAAGCCGCTTGAAGTTTCTTGCGACGCGCGTAAAAGAGGCTGAGTGGAAAAAAGGCAAGTCCCCAACTGTGAGACGCGAAGACGAGGCATTTGCAGACTCGTCACGTGCGTCCTGGTGCACGCGATCCGCGTGCTGAGAGAGCAACAGAACGAACAGAGTCACGGGCTTTCGAGAAAAGATGCTACTATTTTAAGAAACTCGTAATACCGAAGATTAGGCACATTAAAACTGTAGTCTCTCGTATCTGCGTTACTTTTCCGTTTTTTTTTTTTTGGTCCTGTAAGATTATCCTTGGCTCGTAAACTGTCATTTGGTATCGAACGAAGAAACGATAACAGAGGGAGGAATATATTTCTTTTCTATTATTTATTAAAATTACAATCAATTCTCGCGTTGAGAATTTTCAGTAATTTTCTGGCGTGGCACAGTAACATGGCAAATTATTTATAATAAGTTAATACTTGTTATAGATAAGTATGATTTGTACGTAAGTAGGGAGGAATA